CCTCGCCACGTGGAAACGCAAAAAAGATTCTGCCTATCCCCTCCGTTCGATTGGCATTCGGTGAACTAGTTCTTCCCACTTTTAACTCATGATATTCCACCCCAGATCTGGTCTCGGCACGTGCGTAAGAGCGAGGTAAACTACTACATCGTACCTGAAAATCACTTCTCGAAAAGCGGATTCGGGAATGGAATCCCATTCAGCCTTAAGGGAAGGTTTGGCGCTTACTCAGTAGACCCTCCTAATACACACCCGCAGAGACGTGGGAGAAGAGGATTCAAATCCAATAGTAGACTTTATCATCTTGAGCCTCATTGGACCAAGTCGCCAACGGGTCTTTTCTTCCTTCGGGCAAATGCCGTTTGCTACTTGTGACTCACATATCCGATGCAGGTCTGTAAATTCTACCACTTGTGTCCGAAGCTGAGATTTTGTGCTTTACTGCGCGATTTCAATCACCGGCCTATCGCCACAGCGGAGTTGTGACAGCGAGAGGAGGGGTGGATTTCGAGAGCCAAGGCATACCTTTTTTTTTTTTTTTTTTGGCTCAAAGACTTTTTTTCGTCAAGAACCCTGGTGATACAACGTCTCGTTCTCTCTACTTACGGGCCATCGCCTTGGTGCCTCGTTCCGTAATACTACAAGCAAGTGACGCAAAAAACGGACGGAAGTCAAGTTTGTGGTTTCTATCAACCCGAATGACTATGCAGATGCCTTGGCCTTCTTTCCGCGTCGGGCTCTACCGCTTCGACCATCCTGCCCATTCTCCTCCTCATCATCGACAAACTCATCCTCATCCTCAGCAGCCGCCGTCCTAGCCCTAGCTTTTCTCTTCCCCGTAGTTCTAGTCGGCGCCGCCGTGTCAGCAGCAGCAGAAGCTCCGCCTTCCTGCTCCACATCTCCCGGTTGCTCGCCATTGGCATTAGCCCTTAACCGACTCACGGCGTTAGCCATCCTCTTGCTCGTCGTGCCCTTCTGCCTCGGCGCAAACGCATCCCTCGCGCCCACGCCGACAGCACCCTCAAAGTACCTCGTGATGTTCGTCTGCGTGCCCTCAATGTCGCGCTTATTCATGTCCCGAATCACAGGCACCAGCACCTCGTCGGTGCGCTCCTTGCTCCACCCAATCGTCGCCATCAAGAACTGCCGCAGACCCTCGAGGTCTGGAACGCCCCACTGGAAGTGCTCCGGGCTGTCGTCGACCTCTGGCCGGATGTAGGCGTCCGTTACGGCCGGGTTGGGGAACCCCGCTGGCAGGAAAAGCTTGGTGCCCTGGGACTTGCGGAACTTGCGACGGAAAGGCGACGCCGCGTCGGCCTCCTTGGGCCGGTTGTTCAGCTGCACGTCCGCCCACCACTCCTTGAACTGGGCGAGACCGTTCTTGCCGGGGAACTCGGAGAGGATCTCCACGGCCGTGACGGGACCGACGCCAGGTAAGCCCTCAGTGTAATCGGAGCCCAAAAGCTGAGCAATGGCGATGAGCTGGTCGCGTGAGAGCGAAAGCTCCTTTTCGAGATCCGAGCCGAGGTAGCACTCAACAAACTTGTTGCTGTTGAACATGTTCTTGTAGATACGCGTGCCGCCAAAGAGGAAGCAATCCGAGTCGTCGGTGACAATGCCATCCACCAGGCCCAGACGCACCAGCTCCGCACACTGCGCTTCCGCCTCCATAGGAGCGGTGATGTAGGGGATACCAAAGAGGCGAAGGAGTGCCTGACACTCGGTGACCATGACCTGCGTGACCTCGTCGGCGTCGCGGCGGTCCTTCTTCTGCTGCGTGCGCAGCGCCTTGAGTTCCTTCTCGTATGCCTCTTTGTTCTCTTGCTCCGACTTGTTGTTCAGCTCGCTGGCAAAGCGGGCATGCTCTTCGGCTTCCTGCGCCAGGTTGGCAAAGAGCTCCTCGTCTTCCGGGTCACTGAACTCGTCGTCGCTTTCGGCAAAGACGGCTGCTTCGGCGTCTTGCACTGGATCGCCAGCGGTGTTTGGATCATCAAGCGTGGGCCCGTCCATGAGTTCTTCAAACGTAAGCTCGTGCTCTTCTTCTTCGACGGGCTTCGGCTCTTCTGCGGTGATGGTGACATCTTCCATGATTGGGTCTGGAGGGGAGTCGGGACCCTGTGGCTCGGTGACATCTTCCATCTCTGGCTCGGGGGAGTCAGGGACTGCTGTAATAGTGACCTCCATGTCGTCGTCGACTTCTTCAGGCTGAATGTCTTCAAATTCGACTTCGGGAGACTGAGATGATTCGCGTAACACATCTGCCTTTTCTGACAATGCAGCCGTCTCGTCTTCTCCCTTCTCGGGCTCGACCTCTGCGTTTGTGGCATCGTCGGCGGCATTGGTTTCGTCTAGGAAAGTAATATCTTCCTGGGAAGCAGCATGCTTCGGAGGTGGAGGCGCGTCAAGAATCTCAACGTCGTCTTCGTCATCAGAGGACTGAATCTCGATGAGCTGGTTTTGTCGTTGACGCTCAAACCTCCGCTCCTCTTCCTGCGCAGCCTCTCTATCTTCCGTGTTGATTTCACTCTCCACTTGCCGCTGTTGTTTAATCGACTCTCGGATATCTGTATTGTCCACCATCCAGGGAGGTAGAGGCTTGGGACGGTCTTCTTCTGGCCCTCGTTCAAAGCCGCCTTCGTCGTCTTCGTCGCCAGCAGGCTGCTCTTCAGCGCCATCAGCCAAGAAACCACCACCAAATTCGTCATGACCATCTTTGCGCGCCGGTTCTTGCAAACTTTGCGCCGGCTTCTTTGGGGCTGCCACTTCAGGCTTCTTTGACTGAGCCTTCATGGAGAAAAGAGAAGGGCCCCATGCGAGTTTGGGGAACGGCAGTGGTCCATCGAAAGGGTTCTTGACGTTGGGCACTGCAGGCTTGGGCAATACTCGTTTCTTCTGTCGAGAGGCTTTCAGAGCCGCCTGCAGGTCCATCTCTCCGTCGCTACTGCTGGCACTATTCGCGCGTTTCTTTGGCACTGCGGCATTAGACCTGTTGTTTACGATGTGAGCAACCATGCGACCGCTCCTCGCGGCGATCGGCTTGGGTGCCTCCACAGCCTTCTGCTTCCATTCAGGTGCCTCCAACTCCACGTCTTCAAACTGCTCATCCTCCTCAGATTTTTGAGCAGCTTCTCCGTGCTGGTTTTGCAGTGACATGGCAATGGCCCGGTTGATGTCATCTTCTTCTTCTGAGTGCATTGGCTCATCGCCTCGTTGCCTAGCAACATTTCGGACATGGGCTTCCGGCAAATCACCATCGACAAAAAGGCTTTCCTCCTCCTCTTCGAACAAGTCGTTCACTTCGCTGCTTCCCCGGTTTCCATAAAATTGTTGCCTCTGGATAGCTGCTTGCCGGGATGCTTGTGCGGCTGCGCTAGAAGATATCTTGGGCAGCCGGTTCAGACCCTCGACCGGAACATCTTCAAAGTCGTCTTCCTCTTCAGATGCCTCAGCCTTTTCTTTGGGCTGGAACTGAAAGTCCAATGCATCGACATCAATGGGCTTGTGGGCTTCGCCAAGGTCTTTCTCCTTGCTCACGACTCCCAGGGCCCAACCACCTTCTGCGCCATCGTTCTTGACCAGGATGTACTCTCTGTCCTTTTCACCGGCGATTCTGCCGCCACCGTTCAGAGTGAGATCGAGACCAGTCATGCCGGCTTCCTTCATGAGGCGCTGTGTCAAGTTGTTTCTTTCGCGGACTCTTTCAATCTGAAATCTTGAAAAATCCATGCGATTCGGGAACATCTCGTCAAGCTGCTCCTTGCTCAAGCCCATCCTCAAACGACTACGCAGTCTTGCCGCATTCAGAATGTTGTATCTATCAGCTGCTGGTAAGCTTCGAAAGAACTCGCCATCAAAGTCGATCTTGCTGAAGTCGTAGAGATTGATGTCTTCGCCGTTATGGAACTGTCGGGCATATTCCTCCAATTCTTCAATGCTCATAATTCTAGGATCATCCGCCTTGGCCATGGATGCAATATCGCCATCCATCTCGGGCAAGTGATATGCATCCTGCTTGAAAAACTTTCTCGTCTTTTGACGCTCTTGCTGCGACATGCCGACCTCGTCAACGTAAACAATCTGTTCCATATCAGGTATAGCCTCCTGAGGTTCCTCTCGCTCTCGCTGGATGCCTCGGTCCGCATCGCGCTTCCTCTTGTCCTCCTCCTCCTCGGCAATCCGCTGCATCTGCACAGCCAGCAGCTTCCCAGCCGTGCGGACGGCATCCTCCCTCCGACCCTCACGCCGCTGCTTACGACCCTGGATTGTCTGGCGCTTGAGCACGGGAGCCCCGCCATCAAAGACGAAGACGGGCTTGATGCCGAACCACAGCAGCTTGCAGATGCGGCGGAAGAAGCCGACGACGTGCGAATTGCGCAGGGCATTGCCCTCCTTGTCTCGCACCGCCTTGAGGAATTGGTATATCCAGATGGAAGCATCAACTGCGAGGCGCTTTCGATTGAGAGTCGCGAGGTTCGTCGGGCGCGCGCAGGGCTGCACGACGGTCCAAAGGCCGTTCACACCCATGGCGTCGGCGGGAGGGCAGAGCCGACACCTTTGATTCGGAGTTCACGGAGGGGTCGGCTTCGGAGGGTGTCTGATGCTGCGAGAAGCGCTCTCCTCATCTACCGAGTGTATATAGCATTGTAGAAGGTGGGCGCTAGGTCCTGATACAGTCAAAGTAGCACAGATGTTAGTGTGGCGGCTGTGAAAAGTGAATGAGACTACGAGTTCGTGAAGAATGAACACGCCCGCAGCTGCCTGTAAGCCATTTGACATGGGAGCTCGAGGTCATGACGCGCTTGCCTCCACTAGGGGCGTCTTTATCTGTGCTTATCGATTGGGTGCAGATGTAAGCGGCGGGGCAGAAACCTCATCCGCTTGCAATCACCGCCAAGGGGAACTGTTCGCAACTGCGCCGTCTATGCGCCATTCCATCCTTGACCTTCACTCTCCTCGACGCCTGGAAAAGCAATGTCCAACATTGCCGTCAACCAGTCGCCATGGACCAACAGGAGGCAAGAGATTTCCTGACTTCGCTTCTCAACAAGAACCTACGCGTCCTGGCTACTGATGGCCGTATGTTCCTTGGCCAATTCAAGTGCACCGATCCGGTAAATTACTACCCCTCCAATCCTAACCTCCTCCCCTTATGGGTTCCCTTCGTCAAGATCGTTTCGCTAATCAATGCCAACCTCAAATCTATAGGATCGCAATGTAGTACTAGCTCATACCTACGAATATCGACAGCCATCAGCGCAGCAGCGGGCTGAAGCCGCAAAGAAGGCTACAGAAGGAATCACCTCGGTCACGATGGACATGACATCCCGGTACCTGGGCTTGGTCGTGGTGCCTGGGCAGTACATTGTGAAGATTGAAGTAGAAGAATTCACGAGTCAGATCGGGAGCCGGAATCCATACGCCGACGTTGTCGTATAGGTCTCGAAGGTGATTGATCATTTGCGCGACTGTACACCGGATGGAACAAATTGTGAAGCGCTCAAGATTACTGGCGCGGAAGCATCTGAACTCCATGAAGCATTACGCGGCATAAATGGATGCAGTGTATCGTTTGGATATGGAATACTGGGGATTAAGAGCTGAAAAAAGGCACTATTTTAAACCATAAAATTCCATCCTGTTTCACCGTAGCAAGTCGACCTCGACTAGATTACCGAGGCACCGATTCCCAAACACCTGCACCAAACGCTTTCCTTGGCTTTTGCCAAAACCCGAATATTACTGCCATTACGAGCTATGTGCTCAATGCCGTCCGTTGTCAACAGCAGGATAGGTTGACTCAGGTCAGAGACATGCGGTCGTTGTCTTATGCGACGACGCTCTCGTGCTGACGGCCTCTCGTCTCGCCGCTCAGACCATCGTCGGTACCAACGGCAGAGTGGTGGATGTCATCCTCCTCCTCGTCCTCGTCGCTGTACTCAGTCTCCTTGTTGTGAGCCCGCGTCCACGACGAGTCGTCGTTCAACGGAACATCTTGCCCCGAAAGGTCGTGACCTCCCTCGGCACGTGCTCTAATGTTATTTCTGCGGCGCGTTGACAAGGTGCGTGCACGAGTTGACAGCTTGGAAGACACAGCAGCTTGGGATGTGACCCAGTTGGTCAAGGCATCCTCGCAATCCTGGATGATGGCCTTGCTAGCCTCATATCCGTCATAAGCTGCACGAGTCTCTCCGGGAGTGACAGGGGTGTCGTCAATCAACTCGAGCAGGTGCTTTCCGTAACCGGCGACAATGGCAACCTTCTCGCAGTGCTCTCTCAGGGCATCAAATTGGTAGGTGTAGGCAGCCTTGATCTTCTCGCGCGTAATGTTGGACAACTGAGCCTCTGCGACCAAAGATTCAGCCTCAGCACGCACCAGCTCCTGCTCAAGAACGACAATCTTGGGGGAGTTGGGCTCCTTGTACTTGAGCTGAGCGATCTGGTCGGTGATCTTTTGCTTGCCTAAAGTTCATGTTAGTTAGGCAACGATACCGCATGTGTCGAGCATAGGGTAGAGCTCACGGTCTCGGCTGGGTTGGACAGAGGCTTCAATGTTACGAATGCTCTTGATCGTAACACGGTATTGGTCATAACGGTCGACGTATTGGTCCTCGAGTTCGCCGATTTCGTAGAGTAAAACTCCGAGCTTGTCGGTTACATCAGATACATCCTCGTCGCAAGCCTCGCCCCAAATGGAAAGTTGTTGCTAGGGGATCAAGTCAGCAGATGTATGACGGGACGACGGTATCTTCAGACGACCTACAGCAACCTCCATACGCTCTCTCGCTACCTGCTCGAGACTGCGCATGACATTCTTCTCCATCTTTACCAGCTGAGACAGCTTCTTTGCGAGGTCTGGGCCGAAGGCACCGGCTGACTTGTGGCGGAGAGCATGGCCTGGATTGACTTGTTAGCCCATCGTGCTTCCCAAGCTCATAAAATGGGAAACGGCACGGCGCAAAGGTGGCAATCGATGGAGAAAAGACTACTTACCAAATCCTCCCTTGAACAAGCGACCAGACTTGGTGGAAGAAGGCGGCGGAGGCGGGTTCTACGAACATGGTAAGTATCGTACCATACATTGAAGATTGTCATGAAGTTAGGCGCATACCTGGATCTGCGAGGCGGTGGGCGCCCTCGACTGGCGCATGGAGTATGTGCGATGCATGATGTTGGAAGTGACGTTGACTGACTGTAGTGGCGAGAGTGGGACGGCGTCGGCGGTATGAAGTCGTTGTAGACAATGGATCTATGTATCTAGGAAAATGAAGCTTCAATGCAGTGATGCGCTGGGAAGCAGGGTATCGCGGGGTGTGACAAGGGGTATGAGTGGGAAGAGATCAAATGGAGGTCGGGTCAAAAGGCCCCTGAGGATGAAGCGAGGCCGGCTGTTTATATGTAGGCGCCGGAAAGGGCCCAGTGGTGTGGTCTACTGCGTAAGGCAAGGGGAGGTTAGGTAGTTGCGGAGGTGACGGGACTTTGAGGTGACGGGACGGACAACACAAGGTGCGCGTACTTCGTACCTACACAGTAAAAGGTAGGTCCCCAGTGGGAGAGGTGACGGTCTGGTGGGGAGAGTGTGTGTGCCGTCCCCCCTTGAATGCTCCTCCCCCTCGGTGCCTCTTTCGCGCTGACGACGTCATCTGTGTCTTTAGCTCGACTTTTTGGCGTTGTTCGCAGCGTCACCCAGCTAACCTCGTGCCTGCAGGCCTACACGGGTACAAGACAAGTGCCCCACACCAAAGGTATTGACGGGGTGCTTTTCCAGCTGCAATCGGCTTGTCATCGTCGTCAAAGGCTACAATCTCCAAAGCTCTGTTCAAAGTCACTCCCCTTTGCGGTCTAGCCCGGCCTACGTTAGCTGAAAAGTGCAGACGAAGACCTGCTAAGTGATCTGACACCGAGCAATCCATGCGTGCGGCCTGCCGTGGTTGGGAGAAAGAAGGACAGGCAGGGCCAAACATATTCCCCATTCAAATTACAAAAAACACAGCCATGATGATCGCCCTCCGGGATGGCGCCGTCTCTATGAACCCTTCGCCCAATGTGGGTTCATGAAACGGACGGCCGGGCTCTAGGGGACCGACTTGGGAAGTTGGGATGAGGAAGACAGCAAGCTTTCGACGCAAGCTGCAAGAGAGGACCCGTCAACCCATGCCTATCTGTTCCCATTACCAGGCCATCTGCAGGTCCCGACGGGGGTTGAACTATTGAACTGAGCAGCACGCAGGTGGGCTGGGATGGATTATGGGTTGGTCCGTCTTAGCTCTTTAACCTTTTGACTGCCATCTGGGCATTCGTGCGGTTCAGGTATGAGGGACCACCAACTCTCAATTCCCATCACTGCCCAAAGTCTTGCTCCAATGCCCAAGTAAGTACGCAAGTTCGCATTTGCCCACCCTCAAGGCCGTCGAAAACTGCCTTACATCATAAGCAAAGACATTCCTCAAGATAGGACCAAGTCGCCCTCAAAACTCTCCATCTTGCCAGTGGACACATCAAATCAAATTATCGTCCAAGGTTTATGATGCTAGCGCCGCATGCCGTCCGCTTCGGCACGGCCTGCTCCAGGTATTTGGAGGCTAGGCCGACTGTGCTTGACCGTGTAATGTGCGATGATTTCATCGATTCCTCTTTGACTGCGCGAACCATTCCTTAGCGCCGCCCTCTCCCGTTGGTCCGTTCTTTCAATCTCCAAACACACCTAATCTGCTTTAGCAGCATCATGGCCGGATTAATCCTATCCGGTTGCCAGGGGTTTTTACACTACGATACCTCCATTAGGTATGGATAAGGCACTTCAGTTTTGTCCATGATTGCTGGTAGCATGACTCAGCATCAGTTGTCTCCCGTACCTTCCATCCATTGCTAAATACTATCTTATCTAAAGTGGCAAGCACGAGATCGCAATTCACTACCGACGAGATATCGACATTGCACTTACCAAAAAAAATCAAAGGCTGCGTTCTTGCGTCGTCATGAAAGTAACAACCTCATTGGGTTCAGTCATGGAGCAAAAATCCCGTACCTGATCCAATAACAGCATACCATGATGTGATTAACTTATCACAATCAGCCGTCGTGAGCTTCAACAACGGAGAGTTGCCCAATGGTACGCATAAAAAAAGAAACAGATCCATCAATTGGCGATTTCTTCGTCTAAGGTTCTCATTGATTTCGCTCTTCGAATGTCAAGTTCTCCTATTTTCTTATGAGGAAGTCGAGACGACTTGGAATATTATTATTCGAACTGTACAGTGTACTTAACCATAGATATGAATGAAGAGTTGCGTGAAGAGAAGATATCAAATTTGTCTGTCAATCGCGTGCTTGCCAGGGTTGACGTCTTTGAGTGTTGAACTCCGCAATGCAAGTCCGGGCTACTTACCCTATCAAGGTCTCAACCATGCAACTTGCACTCTCGCAATGTTTGCACTAGTTGTCTTGAATTGATTGAGTCGACCTGCGACAATTACAGGTATTAGTCTTTGTGTGCTTACTTATGTGTGAAATAAGCTGGTCAAGTGCATTGCCTTCGGTACCTCGTAGAGACATGGCTGTTGTAGAAGTGTACTTATTATCTGCGCGGTAATAACGTTTTGCCTCTCTCTACAAGACAAGGCGGAAACTGACACGCAGACGTTAGAGTCCTATGCACGGCTCCCCTCTGTGTTGAACCCGAAACTCAACAAGTTGGCTCAAGGAGTAAAGATATAACAGTTGGAACAGGTAACTGACGTACCCGATTAGTATCGAGGTAGGTAGTGTGATTAAGCAAGTTGCCGAGGTACTCAAGTATCTTTGACGGTTGAAGACTATAGTCCCTTAGTTATCCAGCTTGGTAAGTACCTGCCTGAGACGTGGTAACAAACATAGCATGTTCTACCGCAACACATCAAATAGGAACTGAAACTTAGTGAGTCTCTTAGAAAAAGATTGGGGGAAAAGACAATCTCCATTGGCATCTCTTACTCGACAGTCAAAGTCTTTAGAGATTGTTGCGACAGGTCGCAACGCACGGAAAAAGAAGGAGCCAGACAATATCTGAGCCGGGATTGCGAACAGCTCGAGGCGCAATCCCTGCTCCCCGCCCCAGTTTCGGCCTAGTGCCTTGCAATCTCTCCCTCCAACTCTTTCCTTTCATGAACGCGCTTAGCCTCGCAGTTCACCAACGCGTCTCACAATATCTCATCTTCTCTCATCATCAACCTCATCTCACAAAGTCCACTTTCGTGATCTTCGTGGACCGCCACTCCCTTTTTTCATCGCCACCAACCCTCAACTTTTTTAATTTGACTTAACTTCACCAGCGGCTCACTATTGTGGCGGCCTAGCATGGTATTTCCATAGTCAATGTTTACAGGCTTTGCTTACGCTGACAACCGGGAAAGAGGGCATGGTGAGCGACCGTGTCTTTGTCTGTGTTCGCGCACGCAAGTGAGGAGGACGTAGCAGAGGCCATCAGAGACGGGGAAAGAAGGCGCCACCACCGTCGCTTTCTTTGCGCCCCTGCCTTACTCACTTGAAGTGTCCTTCGACATGTCCCCCTTCCGCGCTGGGTCCGACCGGGACCATCCTTCGCGAAAAGGTCCCTACATCGACTACGCCAGATTTCTCCCACTCAACACCGATCCCGCCTCCACCCACTACATGAACCGCGCTCAGGCTGAGCCACCGTTTCGCGATCAAGAAGAATCCATGAAAAAGATCGATATCATCGATCTAACCCTCAACTCAAGTCCCGTATCACGATCCTCCATTCATCACCAATTGGATGCCGATCGTGCGCCACCCCTCAGAACCAAGGTTGAGAGTCAAGGCCCTCCGGGTTTTCCTCTGGGCCTTGCGCATAGCCTTTCGGACCCGAGCGGCGGCTCAACCGCCGCTTCCAGCAATGCCGCCTCAGTTCTGGATCCTTCGCCACCGCCAGTATCCGTTCAACCTTCGGTCTCATCAATCGACCTGGAGGACGGCCTAAACGGCGAGATGTCTCGACCGCCGCGACTTGAGGCGTCGTTGAAAACGCCTCAACAGGTGACGCCGCCGTCATCTACGCGACCCTCAAGCCATCAGTCTCCCAAGCAAGCCGCCATCTCCAAGAAGCAGACCCCGAAAAAGGACATTTTTGATGTCCGGCAAATCATTACCTCGCTGCGGGGTTACTCAGCCGATATCAGCAATGTACATTCGCAACTGTGCCTCTACGCTCTCAGGTCTACCAAACCTGTCGAAACGCGCGTCAAGACCGGCATAGATTACTTTGCTGATGTCAAACTGGCCCCGGCTGATGCTGAGAAAACGGGCACCACCATGACAATCCGGGCCAAAGTGAGTCAAAATCGTTGTTTTTGGGCATCCTGAAGACTTCACTGCTTTCAAAACATGCACGTGACTAACCTCTCTAAAGCAACATTTCCGTGGGAGAAAGGTGGACACTCTCAGAGCTACGCACTACCTCCCAGTGTGCGTCAAGTCCGACAAGCCTGCCGTGCCCAGGTATCGTTTCCATCATACGGAAATCATCAAGAATGTTTTGTCCCCCAATTCGATGCTAAAGTTCGTGCCCGTCATTCGAGACCTCGACCCTGACGAGGAGCGAGATTACAATCTCTGGCTTGGTGAGCTGGAGAGAATGGACAAAAGCTGTGGATTCGAGACTCTCGGCAGCCGTGACCAGCGGGTCGCCCGGACGATCAAAAAGGAAAGGACTGCGACGCTATCACTATTCTTGGACTCCTGGCTCAGAAAGATCGCTATCGACAACTGTAATCGAACTACCCTGATTCGCCACATGGCAAGTTCAAATTCCGATGATGCAATCACGCCACAGCAAAAGACGAGTCTGGTCAACCTGCACAGCGACGACAATATGGCCGCAACTACGCCAAGGGCTTTGAAAGCTGCGAGGGTGTTCACGGAGGCATTTGATCAAGTCTTTTACCATGACGCTCCTAAAGGAAAGGAAATCCTCCTTCGCGACGTTCTGAAGCTTGACAAGTCCGTCGATGAGATTGTCGAATCGAAGAAGACAGCAAAGGGTGGGCAAGATGACAGCGAAAAGGTGGACTCTTTGGAGCAATGGATCGAAACCCACACGGTTATGGGCTGTCTCATATGCTACAGCAATTCATGCGAGCATGGAGACTACAGCATTGAGAACCACAAGCGCAATTTTTCTATGGATTGCATCGGCATGTACGGGCGAATGTTCTCAGCAAATCGCACGGTATCCTCTAGTGATCCGGTAGAGCCGCTGGAGCCTCCCCCGCCGTGTGAAAGACAGTGCTTCCAGATCTATGGTACCGGCAGCGCTGAAGCGCAGGGGAAGCCATGGACCAAAGATGAGACTCTGTTACTACGCAGCTTGTTCACGATCTTGGATCATAGCAAGGTCCGAGTCAAGGCTCAATGCGCTACTGCTGAGATTCTCAATAGAGATTGCCGGGACGTACATCGCCATCTGCAATCTCTGGACATCAGGCTTCCGCCCATTGAAACGATTGATCAGCCGAGGGTCAAAAGTTTTCCTTGGTACGATCGCAAGAGAAAGATGCTCTTGGGCGACTGGCAGGCAGAGACCAACTCTCATGATACCAAGGTCCGGCCATCCAACGATCCATGCCATCACGAAGGCCCTTGCTCGAAAGAAAACGACTGCCCATGTGCGCTGAACGACATTTTGTGTGAGCGCTTTTGTCGTTGCACGGAGGAGTGTTGCGCTTGGAAATTTACAGGTTGCGGCTGCCATGGCAGCGGCAAAACGTGTTTGCAAAAACAGAAGGAGGGCCGTCCTTGTATTTGCGTACAGTTAAATCGCGAGTGTGATCCCGACCTTTGCGGAAGCTGCGGTGCTGTTGAGCGAGCCGATCCTGAAAACCGGCACGACGATGCGCTCTTCCAGACCGGTTGCCAGAATACCGCCATCCAACGAGGTGTCAGCAAAGCAGTCGTCCTTGGCAAGAGTCAGTTGGAAGGCTGTGGCTACGGTCTCTTCACTGCAGAAGACATCGCACAGGACGAATTCGTGATTGAGTACACGGGCGAGCTCATCGTGGCAGATGAAGGAGTCAGAAGAGAGGCACGCCGCGGCGAGGCTTTCTCTGTAGAGAAGAGCACATCATATGTGTTCAGTCTCTTAGATTACGAAGGCATCTGGGTTGACGCTGCTATCTACGGCAATCTCAGTCGCTACATCAACCATGCCGTAGAAAATGCTAACGTTCAGCCCGGCATTCTCTACGTGAATGGCGAATACCGTATCCGATTTTCGGCAACTCGCAATATCAAGGCTGGAGAGGAGCTTTTCTTCAACTACGGCGAAAACTTCCCTAATCTTACTAAGAAGATGATCAAGGAGAAGGCTGACATTGAAGGAGACGCAGAGTCTGGACCAGAAGAAGGAGTAATACCGGTCAAACGTGGTCGAGGCGGACGCCGAAAGACAGTCAATGGCACGCAGAAATCAGCTGCCCAGAAACTCGCCACGGCGAAAATCGCGAAGAGCGTTCGTACAGGAGCTCGGAAAGAGGCGCCACAGGTGACGATAGACGATTACGAAGCTTTAGCCGACGTTGACTCGGCACCGAGTGCAAGCCGGAAGCGCAAGCGCGTCGCGAAGAGCGATGATGAGGATGAGGACTTTCATCCGTCCCTAGAATCAGAAGAGAATGCTGAAGGGCGAGCCAAGGGGAAGCGGCCAGCCGTATCTCGTCGCCGAAGCGGAATACAACGCGTCAGATCAATGGGTTCTATCATACCCTCGGACTCGGAAGCAGATGGTTCCCAGCGAGCAACCCCTCGTAAGCGTGGACGGGCACGTCCCAATAGTTCTCACGGTGTTAGCAATTCTCAAACAACTGCAAAGACTTCGGCAAACCCCGAGAAATCAGCAGTTGATACGCCGCCTCCGAAAAAGAGGCGCGGACGCCCGCCGAAGAATCCTCGTCCGCCGAGCCCAGCCGTGGAAAAGCCACAAGAGGTGGAGCACGTTGAAAATGAGATTCGCGCCAGTCCACTTCTCACCCGGAACCCTGAGGCAGAGGGTGGCACGATCTCGGTTGACTTGAGCCAGCCTTCGAGGTCTGCACGGGGCCGCAAGTTTACAACGTCTGCTCTCAGTCAGTCTGTTGAGGATCCTATGGACGTGGACGAAGCTGAGGCAGAGATCGACGCGACTCCTTCGCGATCTAGAGGTCGAAGGAGGGCTGAGGGCAATTCGATCACAGCTCGTGGGGCATCTCGGGGTGGCCGCACATCTGTGTCAAGAGCGCGTCGCTTGCCTACCGAATCGGATGCTATCGTGGACTCGGATGAAGAACCCCTCACTCTCACTCCATCATCCCGGAGGAAGCGGATGCAAAAAAGGGTCTTTGGACCTTTGGAGGTGAATGACAGCGAGTCCAGCTTTAAGATGCCTGGCGTTGGTTCAGACTCCGATGATGATGACGACGACGACGATGACGACATTGTTGGTCTCAAACGCACTTCTAGGCAAAGGAAACTTCCAGCTCGATTCCGTTCATCCGACGAAGAGTCTTGACAATCAAAGGAAGCATGACCCATCGATTGGGGTGACTGCAGCGCGGACGAACATCAACTGAGCGCTACTCTGCGGTCACAAAGCATGCTATGATGGATGAGTTAGGATGGTGTGGAGGTAATTGAGGTCGCATTTTGCATTCAGAGAAAGCATGTAGTTGAAGGGCTCTTCAAGTCATATGGAGCTTGGTTTTGGGCGATGGCGGCATCTTCCCGGGTCTACATTTTTTTCAGGCGTATTCAGGAGTAAAAAGCATACATATCTCATGCCGCGGACGGGATACATAACAACGTCTTGCTAGGGCAGATGCATTATCCACCGAATATACGTACTTGCATAGATTATTGGTCTTCTAAAGTGCTGTGCTACAATGTGCCTGAACCACGAACACATGGCGTGGAGCCAGCTTGACCTGATATCTAAAGTACTTACTTATAGATCAGAGGCTCGCTTATCTAGAGTTCTTACTGTTCACCGCCTCGTGGCTGTTAGACTTGACGTTCGGTTCTAAATCCTTCGACCTATTGCTAAAACACCAGGAGCCATCAGAGGCTTGCCCAACGCTCCCAAATCGTCCCCTCTTCGGGCCAAGTGAGCATTGGATCCTACTGCCATCAATCAATGCCAATGACTTTGATTTCAACGATTTCTCAGCAAAAAGCATACAACCTTAACTTATTCTGAGCCAGCTGAGAGTATCCCAGGGACGGCTCGAACTGTGTTGATAGCTGGGCCGAAACGGATCTTGACTTTGACGCATGGTACTGGAGCTGAACGAACATTGTCAACCGGGCTGCGGCGACAAGAATATGTTCCCCTCTCCAATCTTCGTATAGAATAACGAGCGGAATGAGCCTCAAATCCAAATTCCATAGCACTATGCCGAAGAGACGGTGCCATGGTTACACGACTCCGTCCGGCTACATGGCAGATACTCAACCTTTCGTCCTTCAAGGGCTCAACACCATCAAGGTTCGTATCCAAAGCCAGTGCAATCCATGCTCAGGTCCCTACTCGGACCACACAACTCTCTGGTTCTCTTGAACTTGGGGGCCTTGTGTGCAACTACATCAGCTAATCTGTATCAGTACGGCTGGCTGACTGGTTGCGCGCGTAGCTTCCCCGGAGTCATCCGCGCGCCTGGTGTCTTGGTGAGGACGAAGGGGCGGATGATCTATTTTCTATCTTTTTCTTTCCGCTTTCTTATCTTAAGTATGTTGAAAAGATGGATAACTTGAGAAACTTTCACTCTTGCCTCTTACATATAGCAATCTGTCCGCTCTGCGCAAGGTAGGACGAGAAAGATAGATATTCGATAAATTACCACTATCTGATATCTTCTTGTCTCTTCTAGGCTGCGAAGAAGAAGTTCACCCAGCTGGGCTTCGGAGCCTAAAGTCTCACAACTCGGACTTCGAAGTGAGGGATTTAAACGAGCAAACCGGCCGACTGGCTTGAGAACCCATCCAGAAGAACACGGCATAGTAGCGGTACTGATGGCTATGACACGACCTGCATCCCCCTCACTCTAATTCGGTTAGTAGATACCATACTCGATTGCGCAGTGAGAAAAATCCGATTTCTGATCAATCCAACCAACACTAGTACATGCTCGTCCAAAGTTCGGTCTCGCGTGGGTTTGCAGATGAAGTTGATCCACAATTATGTAGCTAAACTTAGAGTTCCGGGAACTACATGAAGCAATTGCTTGGCATGCTATCCTCTTCAACGACACTTTTATTAACGTGTTTGTAGGTGAATTTATTCAAATTTGATAGAAGCTTTTTCACTTTCAAAGACCAACAATCAAGTTGCCCTTGCAACTCCCAGGTAAAATGGGGCTATTCTTCAAACAAAATCGCAACTCAAAGTCCTTCGGACGCCTCCCAACACCATATACGCCTACACTTCAGGTATATACAACCCACAGCTCGATATCATACACTCATTCACTCAGCCAGCTCGCTGTGCGCTCAGCTGACTATCTCTTGAAAAACTTCTTCTCGACTGTGCGCAGCACCATGTAGGAGACTGCTGCAAAAGAGAAGGCTAATTCAAAGCCAATATCACCGCCAAAGCTTCCGCCGGCAAGCTTGCCAATGGGACCGGTGAACCAGCTTTGTGACATGCCGAGCACGGCACCCATGACGCCCATCAAGAAAGCCACGATGGCGGCGAATCCAGGGGGTAGGCGCGAAGGCGTGTCCCAGTCGCTGATGTCGTATCCTCTGATGCCGCGACGGAAAACGACGTGATCAGTGAGACTGACGCCCTCGTAGATGGCGAGCCAGTAAGCGATGATGAGCATGAAGTTCTCGAGCCATGATTCGAAGTGATCGTAGCCCGGAATGCTGATGGCAATGTAAATGCCAGTGCCAACAAAGACCCAGATGAATCGGGGAATACGCTCGGTCTTTCTGGACAGGACCTGCAGAGAGAGCGAGACCGAGTAGATGTTGGGGCAGTTGTTGGCGATGATCGAAAGGGCGAGGATGACGAGGCAGAACTGGCCAAAGCCACCCAGCTTGGTGACCAGAACGGCTGCCAAAAGACCTCCGATTCCAGAGTTGGCGTAGGCGTCGGAAAACGTGGGGTCAGTAACGCTGGCAGTCATGACGGCGGCTCCCAGCAACTCGGTGAAGCACAGGGTGAAGAAGAGGCCGCAGAAGGTGACGAGGAAGACCTTCATTCTGGAGGTGGACGCCGGGTAGTAGCACGTGTAATCGGCCGCGTAGGATGTCCAGCCCGTCGCGAAGCCGTAAACGCTGGCAGAGAAGGAAAGGACAGAGCCCGCTTCTGACGGGCCGGTGCTCATGGGCAACATGCTGTTGAACTTGCCCGAGTGCGCAAAGACGCCGAGAACGATGAGGAAGATGATGGCGCAGGGGATCCAAGAGAATCGCTCGTAAGTGTGGACAATTCGGTAACCAAAGGTGCAAATCATCAGAGTCGAGATGGCAATAACGAGGATACCAGCCCACCCAGGCATGTTGTTGTTGACCGCATGGAAGAGTTGAGCACCGACGATGGTGTTCACTGCCGACCAACCTAGACAGGCAAGGATATTGAAGACCGCAACTAGTTCAACCAGTCAGTAAGGCCAAGGCGATTTGGCAGATAGTCACATACTCAGCTTGACAGCGTAGAAGCCAAACCAGTAACGGGACAAGACCATTTGTCGCAAACCGAATGTGGGGCCGAAAGTCGAGAAGAAGCAGACCGGTAAGACTCCCAGAAAGTTGATAAAGACGATGGTCAAAGCCGTATCAACAAATCCGAGACTGAAGACTGGAATAGCCAAAACACCAATGGCAAAGGATGAGACTACCATATTGGCAGAGCACCACTGTAGAAGGGTCAGGATGGTTTCCTGGCGGAATGAGCGCAGCCATCAAGCTTGACTTACCAACGTTCCGACGTTGGCGACGGCATCGTTGATTCGTTCGTCTTCGGGGACCCTCTCGATACCTCTCTGCTCGACACCAAGCTTGCCCGCCAGCCTTTGCAGTCTCGCGTATGTGCTGGTTCCGGTTGCGAAGTCAGCCTGGTGAACGGCATGATCATCCCCCAAGAAGCCTCGCTCGACATCGGTTGCCGACTTCTTTTCCCCGCCAGTCGACGAAATGTCGCTCTTGGTCTCGAATATAGCCATCTTTGAACTGTGGTGATTCCCGTGAGGTTGGTGATGATATTGGATCTAGTTCACCAACAGCTCATTGCTTTCCCCGAAGATGGACTGAGAATGGTGGACGGGGGAAAGGTTCGTGGGCGGGAAACCGGCAGAGACGAGCAGATGCTCAAAGCACTGGTGAATTATGAGGGGATGAGACTGAGAGATCCACGAAGCAGCCAGAACATGTAGTGGCGAGCCGAGTAGTAATATTCATTGCGGAAAGTGGAGGAACCCTTATCAGGGCGCGACAGACGGCGGACCGCGGAATACCCAGATTTCTGGAGTCTAGATACAGCCTCAGTCGTGGGCTTTTGCAGAGCACACACCAAGTCCTGACGCGAAACTGGTGTAGGTGGGGGACATGGAGCGATCAAGATAAGAACCGCGGCATTGAAGAGCCTTTGATGGCCCACCGACGCGTCCTTGATGGCGGGACTGGTGTGGTCCGGAAGTAGGCCGGCACTTGACAGCCGTTTGGGATAGGTTCGGCAAGGGGAACTGGAGCTTTCGAAGTAAGCTAGAAGAAGAACTGGGAGGCAAAGTTCGGGTGTTCCGGGCTGATCTGCCCAATGGCGAATTTCGAAGGGCAATGATTCTGGATACTTGTTGGTCACTATGGAGGCAGTCAGGCGATACTTGCGGAGGCCATAGCCCGTAGGTCAGGGCTTGACGTGCTTCTCCAAGACAACTCTGAATTTTTGTCTTTTTTTCCCTCTGATTCTTTGGCAGAGAGTATCACCCCACGATGCAAAAAAGGAGGCATACTTCTTTGAGTGGACGCATTGCAAAGTACCATCCGTGCTTAGGCAAGCAGGGATTGGCCACCCAGGTATGCGACCCAGGTTTCTGTTAGTCCGTGAACCTGCAACATGGGAGGCAAAATAGGAGAGGCCCGGTGAGTAAATTCGAAGAGTCGAGGGTTGCTGAAGATGGCTTATCTTGGCCGACGAATCTGAACGATAAGATAGACCAGGATTGAGGGGATTAGAAAGACTGCAATTGGTTGTTGGAGACCAGTGTGTCCGCTATGGGGCCGAGTCTAGCTGCCGTAGAGCCGAAAGCATGAGAAGACGAGAGATTGATGATGATCTTGAATGGCTTCCATGCGGGCTAGAGTCTAGCGCAACAGATGAAGTTTGGGGTCTCCAGATGGGGGAGACACAAGTGACAGAGTTGACGAGCGCCCGGGTCCGAAGTCTGGAGATAGGAGGTGCCCGTCAGATCTTATCGTACTTGCTTTCGATCGACACTTGAGGGCAGCAGGAAGTATCCGTAGGAAGAGACCGAAACATCAATAGCCGGCATGATAGGTACCCATGCATAGTACTCCGTATGGCGTAGCGAGTCGTGACCACTGGCAGTGACAGCAAGTTATGACTTGTGAGCGGTGACTGGTGAGATGCATCGCGAAAAAGGGAAGGGCCGCCCACAACTTCCCGGCCCAGGGTTCGTGCCCACAAAGCTTGTCTTTTTGCAAAGGGAAGGCGTGGCTTGGCAATGTGACACTAGCCACATATCTTGTGGCGGTGCACAGCCAGCATCGGTCCTTCCAGAATCCAAGATGAATAACATCCCTTCCAACAACATAACATTTATGTTCTCAGTCTCAACTCCCTCATGTTCAACATTCCGACATAATGAGCCATTCGGTCCGCTTACCTCACCCGATGAACGATGATTGCGTTCGCAGCAAAGCAGGTGCTGGCAGAGCCGTGGCCCGGCCCGTATTCATAGACATGAGAGAACGCCCGTCTGTCAACTGATCTCTTTACATTCCACCAGACCCCAGGTTTTGAACGGGCTGCTTCAGCGCCATGCTTGAGAGGCTTTGGGAATCTCGCAACATCTTGATCATTCCCCGCTCAGATTGTCTCGATGCCGGCCATGGCGTACATTGTACCTCGATGGTCTCCAGCCCCTTTCGAGCTTGCATTGGTGCGATTACGCCGCCTTCTGGAGAAGGCATTTGACGAATTCTCTACGCAACTATTCCGTATCCTGACTGCCAACACGAGAATAGCTGACGCTCGGCACGCGTTTCGGCCCCAGGACAATAAACAATCGACAGCGCGAGGATTTGGGTCATGTAGCGTCGGATGAACCACTGGCACCTTGTATTCAAGTCGTTACCCCGTTGAACACATCGGTCTCGAATGTTACGCAGTACACACAACTCCCATCCTGCAAACGGCACGACGTGGGGTGACACCAACCAAGCAACCCAACCACAGACGGACATGTCTGGCTCTGGTTGGTATTCGTGCGGATACATGGAACACGGCGTGGTCACCGACCGTTGACACTGGTGCAGCGGATCCCGACAGCCGTCAAGGCTCCTTGCTGGCAGCAGAAGCAACACTTCTGCGCACACAAGTTTGGAAAAGATCAAGTCGAGGCTACAGATGCCTACTACGACGGGCTGTCCTACAATTTCGTCGTCCTGAAACCATGGGGATGCAGGGGAGTGAGACTTCACTCTATCGTCCGATAACACCATTCGGGCGCTCCCTTCAGACCTCTTGTGGGATTCAGACTTTTCCAACAACGTCGTCCAAGCTTCTGCCGCTAAACCTCTTCTCACCGACACGGATAACTGCCAAGGAAAGCTGTTGGGGGCATCTTTCGTCGTCCTGACGCTCACAGCGCTGGGCCCCCACTGTTTGCGGTCGGGTCGTTCGTTGCATGGACTCGAGAATCGAACGCACGCCAAAAATCTCGACAACAACGTTTGACAAAGAAGATTCAGCGGCCTCCCGTCAGCCACTGCGTGATTTAAACGGCGGTTGGACCAAGATTGCATCGTGAACACGAGGGAGAGCCACGCTGCGTTGCTGCCCACCAAACCCCACGATCCCGCTCAGAGTTTGAATTACCAGAATGCAATCTCATCAGAGGTCTCAGCAGCAAGCCATGGCGAACCTTGTTTATCATCGTCTAATGTCCGACGCGATTAACACACCAGGAAAAAGCATGGACGACACTTTTTCAAACATTTGCTTTTTGGCTGCAGTAAGGCTGGGCACCTTCGACGGTAACGGCCGTTTGTTTGCACTCTACAATCGTACCATATGCTCGAGTCGGTCATCAACCTTTACTTGCGTCTTGGTGCCTCTCAGCCACAGTTTCTATTCTTGTCCCACACGTCGCCTCCCCGAGCTCGCCGGCTGTAACTCCCGCGCCTCAGTTTCTTCGTCAGAATCTTCGTATGCCTCAGCTCCCCACCACAACAGCGCCAAACCTCCCCTGTCCTAGTCCCGCGCCTTCAGCTCGAGCTAATGGCACAGACAATGTTTCCCAGATTCCCAGCATTCTCGGTCCCTGCCGACCACTAGCCACTTTGTAGAACTCGTTCGTGACAACATTGCCAGTAGCGTTTGCTTCCCTTCACAAGGTCTCGGCCAAAGCGATTGAATGTCGCCGGTCCAGTAGACCATCATCCGCAAGGTACAACCCCTCCTCTTTCTGTTCGCGCCCTACGTCCCCCGGCAATAGCCCTGGCCTAGTAGATCTTGATCCATCAGACTCGATTTCGTTTGTACACTTGGCAGTTCACCCCCGGTCAATTTCTCCTCTGTAGAACGGAACACCTGCCATCTCCTCCTCCGCCAGAATGAAAGGCAAAGGTTACCACGGCTGCTACAAGACCGATGACACGAGGCATCGTGTATCCGACTGTCAAATTTCAAGCTGCCGTGTCTTAGTGATGCACATGAATCTCGCCCAGATGATGGATCGTGATTCGAGGGGAATTGCCAGGCACGTGTCGTCTGTATCTCTCCCTTCCATCTATCATTGCTTTCCAGAATCGGCCGGCCCCCGTAAAGCACTCCACCCCCCCCCCCCCGGAAGCACCCCTGGGCTTCCAGATGACTGCGACGGGCGGGAGATGGCATTGACTAACGGCCGGAGCAAGAAGCTGCAAGGCGTGGCGCGGACTAACGCCATCACCCTTGGGCTTCTGATGGGAGCAGAATGCTCGTGTGCGAAAGTACGTCTTGTTTTGTTTGTCCATATTAAATAGCATTCCTCCCGCCCTGTCATCACCCAGGACTCGACCCCACTGCATTCCGTGAGATACCTGGTTTGTAACTGAGCTTCATAAAGAAGTCTCTTGGCCTCTTTTCCGCTTTCCCGCCCTCTTTACTCGTTCCTCACTTGTTTCCTCCCTGTGTCCCCTTTGCTACCTTTTCAACCTCTATCGCTGCCTTCAACAAAGCGACGATCTGGGTTCCCAATTTCATCAGATATCTCGGTCAAAGTCAAAAGTCACCGACAAAACATCCACAACAAACAAACACCAACCCGGCCAGCTCTTCCTGTCTATTACATCCAAACGGAAAAAATGCAGTTTCCCGCGGTGTTCTCCATGGTTCTCGCCGTCGCCTCTCTCGGCGCCTTCGTCCAGGCTCGCCCGTCTCCCTGTCCCGATGTTCGTCGTCTCCATCCTCCATCCAACCCCTCCGGTGCCCACCGCAATATCACTAAGAGATTCTGACTTTTTTCATATATAGTGGAAGCGAGATGACATCCTCAACGGCAAGGCCAGCCCTGAGATTTGCTGCTCATACGGCGTCTGCAAGGGCGACGTCGTCGTCATGAGCGGTTGAAGGAGCAGAGAAGAATCATTTCCCATCAGAAAGCTCAGGTGCAAAACCCAAGCTCACGCAATAACGACTACTCCGCAACACGCAATAGGCGCGCCCGAAAAAAAACATCGTCAAAGCGTTCATTCAACGTTAACACGACGACGATGAAAAGGCCCTGCCTGCTCCCCCCACCACCACCCAACACAACACCCCTACCTATCATACAAAGCCAGACAGTCGACTAGAAAAAGGACGACATGCACATATCGGCATTTACATATGGGCCCCCATCCTCCCAAACAACAAGTCAGATAGATACGCGGCGATTTTACGGGCGCAACCTAGGGTTTCCCACAAATTGGAGCCCTTGCTTTTTTCTTGTAGGAACCAGGGATTAGCAGACTTCCTATTCGGGATTGGACGACGGACACCGACCACAGGAGATGCAGATGCACGCAGCACATCCACCACACTTTCGGTGTGGCCATGCCGCATCTTTCGTCGGGTATCTTGACGTGCTTGAGGATATTCCTCTTCCTCTCTTTTGGACGAATGGGAAGGGTCGGTCGGAGTTCCGCTGCCCCCTCCTCACCCTCACCCTCTCGGCTTTCAAGAAGATGTTTCTTGGGTGGTCGGGCAGCGGAGTGAGACGGCTGCACCGGGCTTACACTAGACACGACTTGATGATTCTTCTGCTAGTTGTTAGGTCATCTTATCGAGAGTGAGCTGTCAAGACATGAGAAAGTCAAAGATCGACCTCGCGGGAAAAAGAAACCCACTTAGAGAGTATCCAAGAAATTAAAATAAAGCCTACTATGAAATCATACAGAATTTGTCATGGTCTTGATAGATCACACCATCATCAATCACATGCTCAAAGCCAAAAGTAAAGACACTATGAAATTCAGACTTATTTTCAGAAACGGGATACGGGTCCACGAGATGCAAGAAAATGCATGTTTGTTGCTGACTGGGGCGCCTCTCGGAGACATTCCCTCTTCTCTCTCTTCGCTCACGCTTCGCTCACTTTCCCCCCTCCACGTTGCGCGTCCATTGGCCACTGTCTCGTATCGCGAACATCGGTCCATCAGGTAGCTTAGCTTCTGTTTGCACGATAAGCGTCCCGCATATTCGGTACGAGAAAAGGCCGTCTAGCGGGTGTTCCAACCTCAACCTCACGAGACAGACCGCATTCGTCGATTTTCCACGAGTTCGTTTGCCAACCTTGAAGGTTGAGCCCCATCGTACGTTTCTTTTTGCTTGACTCAGTGATCTTGATCTCACACTCAACCACATAACCTCACCTTGACATCACCAGACGTGCATGGTGAGCTAATGCCAATGCTTCAAGAGGCTGTTCCGGCGAGAAATGTCTCTGTCGAGACGACGAACCCGTATGAGCCCTACGGCAAGGCTTAGTGAGCTGTTCATTCACTTTCCGTCCCAGCCGTGCCCGCAATCACAAAGAAATCCACGACCATGACCAAAGTGGGGGAACGAGAGGGTATAGACCAGAGAAGAAGAGGGCAAAGCGAAAACTCACAGAAATATTGTAAAGGCACACCTCGGGAGCCCCAGGCGTCCCGGTCCCGCAACAGTCCTCAATCAAGATGCAATCCCACCCGGCATTATACGCATCCGTCAGCGTGCCGAGAACGCACTGGTCGGTGTTGACCCCAGCGAAGAGCAGCGTTCGTATCCCTCCTGCTCCCCTTCCATCACCGGTCCCGGAGGCAGCCTCCTCACCATCTTTATCATCCTTCCGAGTCCGCTCTAGATACTTCCGAAGCGGCTGCTCCGGGCTCCACATCCCCGACATCCTATTCTTGTCGCACCGCACGTCCTCCTGCGGGCGGAGGCTGCTCCGCTTCAGCGGCTCGTAAATGTCGGCGTTCCACTCGCCCGCGACGAGGCAGCGGCCCCTGCCGCCGCCGAGATCTGCACCGAGGCCGAGGCGGGCGACGGTGCCCTTGTCGTTGGTCGCCTCCTCGCCCAGGATGAGCGATCGCGAGAAGCCACGTTGGACGCTGGCGGGCATTCGCGCCAGGTCGTCGTCGGTCAGGCCCCAATTTAGCCAAATTACCTGCAATGGCAAAAAAGTGAGCTACGATACGTCGCTTGTTTAACCGCCACCACCCCGGCAAAAGTTCCCGTCCCCCAATCCCCTTCCAGGCATCTAATCCCCGCGTGCCCCTCATCTCTTTAATGTCTAGCGACTTCTGCTCCTGTCCCTCCGGTAAGACGGGCGGTAACGTCTGCCGGATGCCCCGAACGTCCGAACAGGGCGGGGGAGAGTAGCACAGAATGGGTTCAAGGCCGTACCTGAATACCTAATTCGCGGCATTTCTCAACAGCCCTTTTGGTCTGCTCCACCGCAGCAAGCCCGGCCGGGTGGTCTCGACAGCTGGGGTGCAAGAAATAGTTTTGCATATCGACAACCACGAGCGCCGTGCTGTGGGGGTTCACCGAAACCGACGTCCCCGCTGGTCCTTGGCTGGTGCCGACCTTCCAAGCCGGCGACCGGCCCCGGGTGAGATCATAGGTTCGCGACGGTCTATCGTAGTGCCACTCGTCGCCCGGCGGGCCAAAGTTCAAGTCTGGGCGCATGACAAAGGCGCGAAAAGGGTCCGAACTTTTTCCTCGGATATTCTAGTCCCGACGGCGGCGGGTATAGCTCACTTCTTGCCCCGATTGCGGGTAATGTATGGCCTGGAGCGATTGGATGGGTGCAAAAGTCACTGAGTGTGTGTGTAGGTTGAAGAAGAAAGGTCGGATTGCTCTCATGCAGTACCAAGAAGTCGGTAGATAAGAAATCCCGCAGAGCACACACAAAGCAGCAATGGACTGCAGCGCTTCTATCGGATGGAGGTTTCAACAAGCCTGGTCTGTCTATCAATTCTTCGGGAAGATGTGCGTCGGCGCGGCTATCGTCCGACCCCGCGGCCAACAAGAGTTGCCCGGTCTACTGCAGGACGAGAAACAGACACAGTCTCACATGTCAACATCATGAGGTTCTGACTGCATCAGTATACAAGGCAGCAAATTTCCAAATATCTAATTAGCTTTCGGGACCGCGTCTGGGCGTGATGAGACGGTGAAACTTCAAAAGACTTCCCCATGAAGGCGCATCTCGAAAAGGGAGGTATAGGACCGAGGCACGATGCTCACTGCTACCTAAGGCGTCTGCCGCATGCGACTCCCCGGTAATTAAGGCGAAGTTCGAATGGGGGTAAATCGGGGCCGACCTCCAAAATGTTTGGAGACTAGATGAGATAGGAAGGGAGGGGAGGGGGTTCGAGTTTCCGTGGAGCTAATAAAGGATCTTGCGTCGGCCACAGTCGCGATTCGTGGAGCGTCATGGTCCTCAGCAAGCGACAATACGACGGCAAGGGAAAGGCGATGGTCAACCATAAGCCGTAAAGATGCGGAAACCCAACGAAGTCCCCTGGTTCGGATACCACGTGAACGCAAAAGAAAAAATCCCCGTGGCGCGTGTGTTGAGATGGTTGCCCCTCCCGGCGTGCCTGGACCTGGAAAAACGCGAGGCGTGCCGCTTCGTTGTATCCGTAAAGAGACTATATGAGAGAAAGCGTAGTTTGCCAGTGAGCTTGTCGCGGGGAATGGTATATGTCGGGTACGGATCGTCATTGTGATTGGAGCGGAAAGTCGCAAAGAGGGTGAATCGGTCTTACAGCGACCGAACGATTCCCACAACGCGGCAGCGCCCCACCCCTGCCAACAAGCTTCGACCCTGCGTGACGTTTCGACGTGGGGAACTGGGGTCAAACTATTCGCCTTGGGCGACGAGGGGTGATGAGGGGCTGGATTCGAATAATTGTTGACCAAAGGGCCGACGAAGCTGCTGGATTGTTGGCCGGCCCAGAAAAATAAAAACAAAAAATCCACGAGTAGCTCCAAGGTATATATCCAGCCGGGCGACTGTCCGGTCGTGTGTCGTTCTGCTCCAAGCTGCTCTACTCTTCCTCCTCTCTGTCCGCTTCGTCTGTTCTGTTCGTCCATACGCTCGACTCAGGTTCTCGCCGTTGCTGTCGCTGTCAGTCGTCTCGTCAATCTTGCACCCACGTTTCATACCCCGCCGACAGATCACATTATTACCTGGCAAGAGAGACACTCTTCTGGACCATTCTTTCATACCACTCTTCGCACACACAGAGACAGCCCAGCTTTCACAATGTCCCCTTCAGCTGTTGATCCTCCCGCCTCGGTCGGCTCCGTTAAGGTGTCCAAGGCCAACATTGGTGTCTACACCAACCCCGCACACGACCTGTGGATCAACGAGGCCGAGCCCAAGTTGGAGGCCGTTCAGGCCGGCGAGGGACTGCAGCATGGCGAAGTCACGGTAGCCATCAGAAGCACCGGCATTTGCGGGTAAGGATTTTCGTGCCAGACAAAAGTGCCCCCCTTAAGGTACAAGGACGAGACTAACGGAGAGATACAGATCCGACGTTCACTTCTGGAAGCACGGATGCATCGGACCCATGATTGTCGATGGCGACCACATTCTCGGCCACGAGTCCGCCGGTGAGATTCTCGCCGTCCACCCCAGCGTCACCCACCTCAAGGTTGGTGACAGAGTCGCCGTCGAGCCGAATGTCATCTGCAACTCCTGCGAGCCTTGTTTGACCGGTCGTTACAACGGTTGCGAGAAGGTCCAGTTCCTGTCCACCCCGCCGGTGCCTGGTCTGCTGCGACGATACGTGAACCACCCTGCCGTCTGGTGCCACAAGATCGGTAACATGTCATATGAGAACGGTGCCATGCTGGAGCCCCTAAGTGTCGCTCTTGCCGGTATGCAGCGTGCCGGTGTGCGCCTTGGCGACCCGGTCCTCGTCTGCGGTGCAGGCCCTATTGGTCTCATCACCCTTCTCTGCGCCAAGGCTGCCGGTGCCTGCCCGCTGGTAGTTACGGATATCGACGATGGACGTCTGGCTTTCGCCAAGGAGCTGGTGCCCACAGCCATCACCCATAAGGTCGGTCGTGGAACCGCCGAGGAGGAGGCCAAGCGCATCGTTGAGTCCTTTGGAGGTGTTGAGCCGGCCGTTGTCATGGAGTGCACTGGTGTGGAGAGCAGCATTGCTTCGGCTGTTTGGGCCTGCAAGTTTGGTGGAAAGGTTTTCATCATTGGTGTTGGACGCAACGAGATCAGCTTCCCTTTCATGCGCGCTAGCGTTCGCGAGGTCGACATCCAGCTGCAGTACCGCTACTGCAACACCTGGCCCAGAGCCATCCGTTTGGTGGAGAGTGGTGTTGTTGACCTCAGCAAGTTGGTGACACACAAGTTCAAGCTCGAAGATGCCCTCGGCGCCTTCGAGGCGGCTAAGGACCCCAAGTCAGGCGCTATTAAGGTCATGATCCAGAGCTTGGACTAAACCAAGCCTGATGGTTAGACGACACGATTGATTTTTTGGGCATAATATGGCGGTGCTGGCGATTTGGTGTCATGGATGGGTTTTTGACTATACTTTAGAGATATGTTCCCAATGAATTCGTATGACAATATGAAGCTTCCATTAGATTGATGATGCTTGTTTGTAGGCAGAGATGTGGACTGTTGGTGGGGGTTTTGGTGTTGGTGTTAAGAGTGAGGCGATGGGGATGACAGGATTTGAGCATTGTAAGGCAGTGACAAACTGCTGCCATACAAGGTAACTTAACCTCGATATGGGGCAGATAAGAATGCAAGAGGTATCCATTCATGGGAGAACCCATTCTGCCCCAGCACCTGCCGGTGAACCTTTTGTCACTCAATGGATCTCACCAGTGAACTGTGCCTGCCTGCACCTGTGAGCTGCCCTGCCACGCCTGCCCGCACTGAAAAGAGCCCCCACTTCCCTTCAAGAGATCAATTTTGTGATTGGTTAGATCTCAAAGCGGCATAGTCCGCTGGGCCGACGGGTGCCAGTGCCTCTTTCCCCTGGGAGCAAGGGAAAAAAGGTACCTATTCCTTGTACCTGACCTTAGCAATTGACATTTTTCATAAGCAGGAAAAGAGAAGAGCGCACGGGCCATCGCTCCTCCGGCTCGCAACAACAGCACAAGCGAAATCTTCCGAGAGGTCGGGCAGACTCTGGCAAGAGAGACAGAGAGAGCTCTTTTTTTCACTTTACGCAAAAAACATCACTCACCACCACCCCCTTCCCATCAATTGGCAGCCAACGAAGCTCCTTCGACCCCGGAGCCGCCCACATCGACGCACCCCGATCCGAGATCCAGATACCCCGATTTTTAATCCGTCGACCTCCTCTCTCTCTTCCACAACCACCCAACCCCCCGGTCCAAGATGTCTTCCGCCCTCGCCCGCCCGCTCATGCGGACCACCGCTCGCACCCTCCCTTCCCGCGTCGCCGCTCGCTTCGAGTCAACCACCACCAAGAAGGCCACCGAGTCCGCAAAGGATGCTGCCGGCAAGGCCAGCGAGTACTCGGCCAAGGCTGCCCAGGGCCTGAGCCGCGCCGCCAGCGCCGCCGGCCCCGCTCTGTCTGGTGCTGTCAACGCCCTCGGCAAGGTCGGCGGTCGCACTGGCAAGGTCATCAACTTCATTGAGAGTATGTTTCAATCCGGTCACGAGAGCATCTCTATGAGCAGAGGCGCAATTGAGCGCGCACCCTTGACTTCAAGGGCCAATTGCTGACGGATGTCCGACTACAGAGCAGGTTCCCTGGGTTGTCTACTACTCCCGCGTCACTCTTGAGCTGTCCAAGATTGTCTTCCACGGCCAGAAGATGGCTCCTCCGTAAGTTTACAGCACCAGAGCGAAGCGTCTTGTCCGCCCAGCTTCTGACGAAAGAAATACAGCCCCGTCAGCACCTTCCAGTCCTACTTCCAGCGGGCCCTCGGCGCCGTCAAGAACCCCAACGCCCTCCTGAGCTCCGCCTCCTCAGCCGCCAGCTCCGCTGCCAACACCGCCGCCGCTGCGAAGCCCGCCACCATCGCCTCCCGCATTAACACCGCGACCGTGGCCACCGGTGCCGTTGTCGCTGCTGAGTGCCTCGGTTTCTTTACTGTCGGCGAGATGCTCGGCCGCTTCAAGCTCGTTGGATACCACGGCGAGACCCACGCCGCTGCCCACTAAATGGAGAAAGAACCTTTTGGACTTTGCTCCCTACCGCCTCGTACCGATTCGAAACGACGACGTGAAGGAGGATAAGTTTGTTTCCCAGGTTATTAATTCAAACTGCATCTAAAGAAAAAGAGCACAAATGGTGGCTTCGGGTTATAGAAACTGGTAGGAAAGGGGGTGTTTTTATTTTGGAACCAAATGACATGAATGCTCGATGCCCGTGGTAGAGATTCATGTTATCCAGTGGCACAGCTCCCTACCGGTCGAGATTCCCTTGACCGTTCACGGGAGCTGATGTATTGGGAGAGCAGCAAAGAGAGAATCAGTCTCGGGGGCCTTGGATCCGGCCACCGCGTACGCGTTTTCTCAACAGGCCACCTTATTATTTCCTTATGTAGACTCTGTACATCACACACGTCAACCGCAGCCCACCCATGCTGCGAAACCTGCCTCCTGCAGGTAAATAACAGGAAACCTATTGAACCAAAATGGCGCTCGGTGTAATCACGTTCGTAAGAGTGTATCAGATTGAAAGCAGAGGGTGGATCTGATACTTTGCATTAGCAGGAGCCTTGACCTTGAGACGTGACCAGCACTCTGACTGGTTTGATGAGAATGAGATTATCCCTTTGCCTGTCCTTTCTCCCTCTCTGCTGTAACTCTCTTCAGTTCGAGAGATCATATTCGACGATGAAGGTTGTTCCTTACTGGGAACGGACTGGCAAGTTCAATGTTGCAGCGGACCCTGCCATCTTCTCATTCAGCCCTTTTGATGTTACTATAGATAGGCAGCCGAAGCTGTGACGTATTGAGATCAGGTATACATTTTTATGCTCAACGACCCTCGATGACAGCCCGGAGCTGCGTCACAACGTCACTATCAACTGAGCTGCTCGCCCTAGCCAAATTCAGGAGAGTTTAGCCGTTCTACTTCCCGCGTATTCGTCCTGACGGCCCAAATTTTCAATCCATCACTCGAAAAGCATGCAAGGCTATGACGCTAGAATACTGACGGGGGTTATGTAGCTAAGAGTGATGAGATTGTGGTCTTCATCGTCAATCGATATTCACCCTGACTAAGATTAATAACACAGAGCTCTTCCCTACCTGTCGTCTATTATTATTTCCTTCGCTACCGGCTCCGGTAGGACGTTGCGGTGATTCATCTCACTTCTTAGTGAAGAGGAGATGAATTCCTCTCGACATGGAAGGCACCTGCCTCCTCTCCTTCCCTAAACCGACGTACCTACCTACTTAAGGGGTCTATTCACCGTTGCCGTCACCAGCACAGCAGCGACCGTCTAGGTCTGTGAGGTCAGGTCAAGCTGTGTGCGGAGGTGGTAGAGTTGGTTAATATAAAAACAAATACTCCAATGAAGTCAGAGTCCAGGTTGACCGAGGGGTGCGCTGTTCGAATTTGGGCAGAGGCGTGATTATAAGGTCAGTATTCCCCCTCCTCCCTTTCCTATCGTTTTTTGCCCTTACACTATGAACCTTTGCCTACATAAGGTTGTATCCTTCCTTTTGTCTTATGAATTAAGTACAGTTCACTCTGACATGGAGTTATCAAAAGTAGAAATCACGCGGCAGCCATCTACTGCGAATCCAAGCAAATATGCGATTGGAGAGATCTAATACTTAACGGCCAGATGGGCGAATCTCGTACTTCAAGGGATCTCCTCATTCTGCCTGGTAGTGGTTGGTAAGGTAGATTCCCCCAGAGAAAAGCTTTCTTCCCACTATCTCATGCTACTTCCACTATTCTTAATCACCAGCAATGAGCATCCGACAGGCAGATGAGTATCAGAGGTATGACTTCAGGTCATGTCGTTGAACAGACACAGATAGCTCTATCAAATGTTTCGCTCATGGAAATACAGCCAGCCGTCCCAGCAGTTAAGAATCGGATCCGTCAACAGCGAGAGACCGTCAAATCATCGTCGCCGAGCCTGATGCATACTATCAAAAAGTCTCACGTTACACAACCCGAAAGCCAACTTCTCTTCCATTTCCCTTACCAGTCTGCCCGAGAATCCGATCACCGGTCAAAACGCAAAGACCTTACCTCCTTCCCCAACCACCAATCATCTCGTACTCATGCTGTCTTGGCGGGGAAGGCCTTCTCGTTGCCCCTTGGCCTCTCAGACAGGTAGTCAGGTAGAATGGGAGGTTCTCCTGTTCTCTCCATCGAACCCAGCCCCCTCTGCTCAGGCTTGATCAGATTTCGGTCTACGATACCTGAGATATATAAGCAGTGATTCAACATCACTTCATTCAAACTGTACGCCGCACACTTACCGAGAACCCCGTTCGAGGCCCGTACCGTTTGCCACATGATCCCGTATTCGCACTCACGAACAGACCCCGGATCCCTCTCATCAAACACATACCGCTACCACTGTTTAAACGCCTCAATCTTGCATAGTGGCGTATATTGACATTCTTTCTGGACCGACACCCCCTTTGTGCACTCCCCCCCACTCCCCCTATCTACTACACACTTGACACTTGGCGGCCGCGGCGGCGTAGCATAGAAGGATCAAGGTGCCAACCAACAACTATCCGGGCAAAAACGTTCCCCAGGGTATATAGTTTTGCCAGGAAGAGAATCCCACGAGTTAGCCTTACGGAACCCAAATGTTTGGGGACTTTGGCCCCCCCCCCCCCATGTTTGGGCCCCTTTTACCATTCCCTCGGGTCGGGGTGGAAGAAAGGAACAAACCGTTTTCATGACCCCTGAACATTGCCGAAAAAGGTAAATGGTCCTCTCTCTGGGGGAGGTGTTGATGGTGGTCAGCGAAGATCTGAGAGAACCTAAGCCGGTAAGGTTTATTACATTCTTTGGGGCCTAGGAATTTTGCAAACGAATATCTGGTTTGCCAAGTCTTCCTGGCCGGTCTTCTTTTCTGTTGATTGATGGCCTATACAATTTTTTGTTTGGAGAGAGTCATGACAGTAGCAGGCGTTCTCGCCGGTACTTAGACCTGATGAATCATCCCGTAGTAATCATGTGGCCTTGGTATCCGTGATGTATATGCTCTTTTTCGTAGGAATGATGTTGGATCATTATCTCTCCTCATCTTTTATACGGCCTAGTCAACCTCGCTTTTACGCAAAGATGGAGGGGAAGCTTGGAAAGAGAATATATCAATATTGAAATTGTATCTATACCTTCGTCACTCGTTGCAAGGATCCTCGAGTGACGACCGTACATATCTGTAGTCAACCAAGTTCTCGGCAACGAATCTCGCAAATAATAGGTCACCCTATAGCCTCATCACGATGACAGAATACCCGATATGGCCCAACCAAGTCCCGAAAATGAGAAACCAGAGGCGGCAAGCTCAAGAGTAGTCGTCTTGGTTTTACTAGTCCTCGCCGAGAGAGTCGGTCTTCATTGCAGCAAATTTCATCGAGAGTGATTCTAATCTCGCAACAGAGTCTCGGAACAAGAAACATAAAAGGTTCTACCCCTAGTGAAAATACCTTAGCTGAAGGAGCCAAGACAGAAAATTTCCAGACAAGATTCCAATACCAAAATTTCCCTAGATCCAATGCAACGGATATCCCCCATCCCTCGCAGGCGGTAAAGAACGAAGGACCAGGAACAGGAACCCAACAAAAGACACACCGCCGTATCATGCACGACCACATCATTCGAGATCATTCGGTTCAAAAGCACCTCCAAAGCCAAAGAAATGTCTCGCCCCCCTCCTCCTCAAAAGAAACACGTATGACAGTCCCCCGGTACCGCTTCCGCCGTCTCCGAACTCAAACCACTCCCGTTGGAACCTCCCTGGCAGTCGGCCAACGCCCGCCCGCCCGCTCGCCCGCCCTTCATGCATAACACTCCCTCCCTCTCCATATGCCCTTGGCAGCATGGGAGATTTCGCGTCCCAGGTAATCGCATCCGCGATCCTACGAAAGGAATACCCGAGACAATAGAACCATAACACACCATAGCCTGTAGTGCCTCATCCTCTCCACCGTCACCTTTCACCTACCTCTATGATCCTGCAGAGCCAGTTGTTCCCGCATGAGACGAGAAAGGTAGATCCCAGGCTCTGGGCTCCAGCGTGGCATGGCCTCGCTGGAGGCGGCCCCTCATCACTCATCACCAACCCCCCCGGGCCGAGGCCGAGGCCGAGAATCGAGACCTAGACCGGCCTCGAGTTTGGTTGGGCAATGGTGCAGCTTCTTGTAGAGAGGCAAATAGAAAACCAAAAAGAAACACAAAGGGCGGTGATGGACTGGTAGGAGTGGGAAGCTTGATACATGTTTCCACAATCTTGCAGCCTACATGTGTCTTTTTTATCCCTCTTGCTCCTCTTCTTTACGCACCTCTTGATGTGTAGGATTGGGCAGAAAAAAACTAGCTCAATGCCCTTTTGCCTTTTTTACCCGAACCACTCATCTCGAGATCCGTGTTCCCGGGTCCGGGCATCGGACGTTCGATGGGTGCCTAGATACATCAGAAGAGGGGGGGGGGGGGGCAAGGTCCCAAAAAGGGAGGGGCAGTAGTGATAAGTATAAAGAAGTGTGAGTGTGTGCTCGCATGCATATGAGATATAAGTGTGTGTGTGTGTGTGTGTGTGTGTGTGTGTGTGTGTGTGTGTGTGTGTGTGTGGAGAGCGAAGAGAAGGCAGAGAGAGGTTTGAGGAGGGGCGCAAGGCTGGGTGTAGAGTACATCGTACTTCGTAGCGTATCATAAGGAGAACCGCCAATCCAGCCAACATGTGGACTGCAGGCTCGGGGCGGCGGGATTTCTCTCCGTCATGCAAGTCGTACGTCGAGGGTACATGTAGTTTGCTGGCTTGATGCGGGTCGGGGCGTTGGTTGGCAGCCTTAACGGAGAGGGAACGTTTGCCTAGCTTCACCTCGGGGAAAGAGCGTGTGCTGTCTCCCGGTGCAAGTGAGATCATCCAGAAAAAAGAGCCAAGCCGGAGACAAGCAAACTAAAAAGAATCAACGATCTTGAGCTACTGTAAACGGCCCATGCAGGACATAGGATA